GTAAAAGGTTAAAACCATCATGTTGTATCAATGAGAACGATTCCATTATTCCAAGAATGATTGATTGGAAAGTACTTTACTTGCAGGAAATCATAGTGATACAATACAGCTTCCACTTTCAAAGCACTTTCCATTAAAAAAATTATACCTATGTCTAAAAATAATTATACTGAAGATGTGAATCAATAGCCAAGTAATTTATTGGCACTTGAAAGCCCTGTGGTATAAACAGATTCAATACAATGGGACTAGCAAGTAGTTCTGGCTGTAGCAATCTAACCTCCATGTTCATGTCAAAACAAAGTGACATGCAGTTCAGAGAGAGTCACCTGGCCACCTTGGCAGAGAAGAACACAATGGAACAGGACCAACTGGTCAGGTCAACGCAAAGCACTGAGTGACACAGTGAGAGAGACAGAGGGGACAGAGATGTGGTCACTGCCCTCTGTTTTCAGAGTCCCCGACTGTATGCAGGCCTGTACACAGAATAGCACAATGTCCCAAGTATCCTCGGAGGAGTGCTGAGTAATATGAGCTAGAGAGATTCTTTCCAGCATGCTTTCCTTCCTTCTCGCCTTCCTGCCTGCCTGTCTCCCACAGCCATGTACCATGTGGTGTGATGTGAACAGAGCATGGAATCAACTGGGTCTGGATGCAAATTGCAGCTCTGCCACTAACTGTGTGACCCTGGACAAGTGATTTAATGTCTCTAACACTCAGCTCCCTCAAGTTCCAGGGGGCTCATTAATAAAGATGAAATGAGGTCAGTCTTGCGTGTGTATGGAAGTACCCAGCTTTGCTGCCTCCTGATGCAGAGCAAACAGTAAAGTTCACTCCTATCCTCACCCTTCTACTCCTCCATAAAGGTTCCACCCCTTTCTTGCTTAAATTTCAAAGCGTTTTCCCGCTGTTGGAGGGAATGTGACTTCTAAGCTAGCGTGTCCTGGTCTGCATGTCTTTGGGCGGGTGGCCCATCAGCTAGGAGCCTCCCCGCTTCTTTGTGGTTTTGGACTCAGAGGACCGACTGCTGCCCTCCTTATGGTAAGACTGTGGAGCTCCACCTCCGTCAATCCTCTCACTTCTGTGAAATGAGAAGGTGGAGACTTGGGCAACTGAGAGTTGATCATCAGCAGTTGTTGACTAAGCGCATACGTCTTTTAAGGATTGTATAAGGAGGTAGTCATTCATCAAGGAATGAATTCCATAAGCTTTCTAGCCATGCATAAGAATTTAACATGTGGGATTGCCTCAATCAAGATTCTTGGCTGAGGACAAAAAGCATCCTGTTACTGGCATGGGACCTGGATGCCATTACAATGCTGCCACTAATACTTCAGACCTCAGTTTTTCTGAAGTCACTGTCACAGCCAGAAAATGTTGCTCCCACCCCCCTCGGCTTTCAGATGGGTGTCACTGCCTGGTTTTTAATTGCAGAGGAAGTAGCCTCAATGATAGGGGTATTCCCAAATGCAGGAAAGAGCATCTACCAATTCAGTTCACTCCAGCATGTCCACTTAATTAAGAAAAAAAGGGAAATCATCCAGAGATTAAAAATAGACAATTTGAAAATTCATGAAGTGACTGATGGTGGTTTTTTAAACTTGTTTAGCGACATTTCTTTCCTGAAAAACTTATTTTAATAAAATTTTTATTTTTTTAAAATATGTTATCTATTAATTTTTTAGAGAGGATGAAGGGAGAGGGATAAAGAGAAAGAAACATTATCAATCAGCTGCTTGATGTATAAACAAGGGAAAATGTCATTTTCCTTAAAGCCATTCACTATCTCATGAGCTCACTCTGTTCCTTCCTCCTCCTGGGTCTTCTTCCTTCCAGCTTTACTTCTCTCTATAAATCTGTCTCATTCCATAAGGACTCCCTTCTTCACAGAGCCTGTCTTCAAAACCTTTCTTAAAATCCAAACTCTGCCACACTATTTAGCAGTTAATCCACAATGGGTTATACTCCTTCTCTGGTACCCATCACTATGCTGCAGCCAGCTCATGAAATAGATACATCAGCTGCAACTGAAAGTCTTGTAGGCCAAGGTCTCTATTAAGGCTGAAGTATAACTTCAAGATTTGTAATGAAAGCTCTTTTCGGGAGCGGGGAAGGGGAGAAACCCAGCAAACTAGGAAAAACTGGAAAATGGCCCTGAATGCTGTTAAATACCAGAATGATTTTTCAAAGTGAACTTGTTTAATTAATTTATCTAAAATGCATTTGTGCCAAAACCAGTTTGGCTCAGTGGATAGAGTGTCAGCCTGCGGACTGAAGGGTCCCAGGTTCAATTCCGGTCAAGGGCATGTATCTTGGTTGCAAGCACATCCCCAGTGGGGGGTGTGCAAGAGGCAGTTGATCGATGATTCTCTCTCATTGATGTTTCTGACTCTCTATCCCTCTCCCATACTCTCTGAAAAAAAAATCAATAAAATATATTTTTTTAAAATAAAATAAAATGCATTTGTTAGCCCTAGCCTGGTGTGGTTCAGTGGTTTAGCATCAACCCAGGAACCAAGAGGTCACTGATTCAATTCCTAGTCAAGGCACATGCCCAGGTTGTGGGCTTGATTCCCAGTGGGGGGAGGGGGAGGGGGGGCATGCAGGAAGAAACCAATTGATGCTATTTCTGTTATCCATGCTTCTATCTCTCCCCTTGCCTCTCTCTAGTAATCAATAAAAACATATCTTTAAAAGAAAAAAAAACAAAGATTAAAAAAACAAACAAATCCTAGTTACGGCACATTCTGCAAAATACCTGACCAGTTCTCAAAACGATCAAGGTCATCAAAACTGAAGAATGTCTAAGAAACTATCACAGCCTACAGGAATCTGAGATGTGATAACTAAGTGTAATACGGTATTCTAGATGAGATCTTAGAACAGTAAAAGGACATTAAGCAAAACTAGGCAAATCCAAACCAATATGGAGTTCAGTTAATAATATGTCGCTACTATCTCATTAGTTGTGACACATGTGCCACAGTAATGTATTTACAGAACTGGGTGTGGGGTCTATGGAAACTCTCGTCATATCCTTGGAACTTTCCTGTAAATTTAAACCTATTCTAAAATAAACATGTCGTTAAATATTTTTAAAAATACAAGTTTGGGGGAAAGATGAGCACATGCTTATCTCCACAGCTGTCCTTTGCATTGCAGGGTGCTGGTGACAGTTTTGTAGGAGCTTTGGCCTTCTACCTGGCTTACTACCCAAATCTGTCCTTGGAAGAAATGCTCAAGAGATCCAGTTTCATCGCCACGGTCAGTGTCCAGGCGGCAGGGACACAGTCATCCTATCCTCACAAGAAGGACCTGCCACTTTATTTGTTTTGATTGCTACTAACTCAAAAATAAAAATACCTGGAAATAAAATGTTCTTGAAGGTGGCCAGTCTTAATTAGCTGCTTACTATAAAACGTCTTCTCCTTTCTTTGCAAATATTTTCATTTACTAAGTCATCCTCAAGCTTTCATCTATTTCTTTACAATCATTAATTTCCTTGCTTTTCATGCAAGAGCTCACCAGAAGCAAGGACTCCGTGCATGACCAGGACTTGTACAAACATTACTACTACTCGAGAACTGGCAGGCTCTACTGGCAACAGATCAGGAACACTAGCAGAGGTTGTGGACAAGGGTCTACCAGAGCAGAAAATGTTCAACAAGGGAATGGGGGCTTATGGATTGGACCACTCAGAGAGGGGCAGCTGATATTCAGCTTTGGCTTTAGCATTGTCAAAGCTTCTAGTTTTGCAGGAGAAGCCAGAAGTTTTGGATGTTTATTGAAATCTTTGAATATTTACATGTCAGCAACTCATTTTTTTTTAATGTAAACACCACCTGTGGGCCACATTCAGCCCATGTGCTGAATAGACAAGTCACTGGTTAAGCCAGTATTTAGGTTTTTGTTTTGTTTTTAAAAATGCAATTCATGCATGTCCAAGACCCTTTACATGGGCTTAGCAAGTAAGATCAGGTGAAAGATTTTTCTTGTAATTCAACACCATTATGTACAGTTCCAATCTAAAAATAGCCAAGATCACACCTATTATTGCTTTCAACCAGAGCTTTAACAAAAGATGCCATAAAAGAGCTGACTATCAATGCCACAAGCCTCCAAGACTCAGCAAGAATCTGCATCTAATTCCATTTCCAAAGAGCTCCTCTTGCATTTCTGCAGAGACACAGACTGGGCCCTGGGAGGGAACACCTGTTATTTTGAAACAATATCGGTTCCTTAATGCTGGTCCTCATGGTGGGCACTCTCGTTCTCCCACATAAATGCTTTAAATGGGGTAGGACACGAACCAGTAGAGCTCAGAAAATGAGCTAATCCTTACCTTCAGCCAGAAATTCGACAAGAAAGCTGGGCAATTTTGAAAATCTGTGGGAAACAATAGCTTGAGTGAGAAAGTACATAGATCTGGGCAGAGCAGGAATCTTTATCTGAACATTAAGGATTGTCAGTGGAATTTCCAACCTGGTTAGGTGTGCTTTAACACCAGGTCCCCAAAGCCTTCATTCTAGCTTACAGAAATAACATAGAACCTCTTATTTTATAGATAGATAGATAGATAGATAGATAGATAGATAGATAGATAGAATAAAGGAGTCCAAAGCTGTGCTAGAAAAATCATAGATACTGCATTCCTAATCTGAGTTTGAGAATAGGAACCAACAATATTTTCCCTAAGTATACTAGTATAAGCACAAATCAAAAATAGTTCTCATAGTTTCCTTTGTGTTAGAAAGCTGAGGGTGGCTCCCTTCTTATCATTCCTGCTCACCTTTGCCATCTCTGTTATTGAGTTTTTTAAAGATCATTCTAGAATGTGACTGCCTTTTCTAGAAGATCAAGGAGGACCAGCCTGGAAACTCTTGCACAAGTCTCACTGTGGAAAATGTTCTTTCAATACATGAAACAATGGTTATTTTTTAGCAGTGTAGTTGTGTTTTTAATTTCAAATAGTGAGGAAAAACATCACCAAGAGACAATAGTACAGGCTATTTTAGTATATTTTATTACGGGCTATAAAAATATCTAGAAAGATAAAGAAATGTGATGCAATGATATACACCCTAATATGAAGAACTTTCTCCCACTGCATTGTTTTCTTCACAATGGCCTTCCAATCGCAGGAGGCAGAGATGCCGTGTCACTTCCTCTTCTTTTATTTCATGCTGCAGAATTTCTGAATCAGTGCCCGCCCTCAGTCTTCTCATTTATAAATCAAATGCATTTTCAATCCATTGTTCAGATGGAGCGTATTTTTTTCTGTTCCACAAAGAGGACTCTTGCTCTCACTACAGAAGGAGAAAAAAGGATTATGGCAGAAAACTGAGTATCGTTACCATTTTCTAATAAAAATATGTACCAGACTATAAGCCCTCTCTTTTGTCTTACTTCCCTTTGACATGGGGATGGGGTTGACTTGCAAGCTCAGCTCCTTGATCCCAAAGGCCAGAGAAAATGGAAAAAAGGAAAGGGCCAGCCAGCCAGTGGCATCCTTGGTACACCAGGTCATACATCAATCAATGTGAAATATTCAAATTAAGCAAGAAAATTATGGGCAAAAGACGGAAAACAATCGATGTCATCACCCAGTTATATTAATCCACTCTTGTAGGGGGTAAGCAAAGACATACTGGATCTGGACTCCAGAAAAAGGGCACTAAGAACTGAGCAGACAGAAGAGAAGTAACATCCATATTAAGCTTGTACTTTCCAGAGATGCTTTCATACCCCAAATATGGACTTTCTAATTTGGCAACAAAATTAACATTATAACCACAATCTCATTATTACAAATATTGGAGAGTGCAGTTCTCTGAATTAAAACCAAAACAAAAGTCCTGACACTCAGAAGAAAGATTGGAGACTCGATGCTAGGCAATAAGGTTTTCATAGTTCCTATAATGCCCTATAGTCCTCCATTAACTTCATCTATCTATTTATCCTCTATAGATCTCTTTCTCATCTTCCCCACCCGCCCCCACTCTCAAACACACACACACACACACACACACACACACACCACTTTATTCTTCTTTACCAAAAAAACAAAAAATACACCCAGGAACTCAAACTAATATGATAGAACAATTCACTTGTCCCTATCATACAAAGAGATTTTAGCTTTTTTTTTTTCCTTCTCTTCTATAATCAACACAGCCACTCTATATAGGAGATGCCAAACTGTCTATGATTAAGCATTAGCTAGGGAGCTTACTGAAATAAATCCCTGCCCTCATTCTGGTTCCTCAGATTTAGGCTAGGACTGAAAGTTTATATTTTTAAACCCTCATGATTCTAATGAACAGCTGGATTAAGAACCATTATCCAGTCGATATAATTTTATCTATAATATTAATAAAAATAAAATGTACCTATTACATAGAAATATTTTTCATTTATTTCAAATCACCTAACATTAAATATAAGCAGGACTGATGCTCCTTCAGAATCCAAGAAAGACTACAAAACATAAAAAGGTAGAAAAAACCTTTCCCTATCAGACAATATTATTCATTGCAAGAAATATTTTTCCATGTTTTTCTACATACAGCTAAAAAGATGGATAAAAAAAGGAACTTGCTTTACTGATAACCAATCAGGAGATTATGTAGGTGTGAACAGGAGTAACTGACAAAGATTAGCAAAGCAAAGTTTTATTTATGAAAACATGTTGATTCATTCCCTTAATTCAAGGAATAAATACTGAAGTCCACAGAACTGTGTTAGGCAATGTGGAGTTTACAAAAGTGTAAAAAGAATCCTTAGCCCTGCAGTTTGGCTCAGTGGTTGAGCGTCGACCCATGAACCAAGAGGTCACTGGCTTGGTTCCCATTCAGGGCACATACCCAAGTTTCGGGCTCCATCCCCCATAGGGGGCATGCAGGAGGCAGCCGATCAATGTTTCCCCTCTCATCGATGTTTCTATCTCTCTCTCACTCTCCCTTCCTCTCTCTCTAAAATCAATAAAAACATATTTTTTTTAAAAAGGAGAAAAAGAGTCCTTGGGTATCTGGTGTGAAGGAATGGCAGTAAGAGGTAGGAATGACAGTGGGGCTTCATGGCCTTAAATGCTAGACTGACCACAGGGGATGGTCCTGATTAAGAAAGAAGAAAAATCAGGAAGATTAATTTGGCTCCGTGTAATAGAAAGAATAGGAGGCCTGGAGTCAAAAAGGTTGGGTTCACACGTGGGCTCCATCTTTCTCTGCTCTGAGTCTGGGCAAATTTTTTAAAATACTCTCTTCCCATGAGGGAGATAACTCCAACTCCCTCACAAGGCTGCTGCCAGATACACAGTGAACACTCAACGTGCGCTAGCTGAGCACTGCTATCCACAATCATAAACATAAATGTTGTCAAAATACTTTCTACTTACTACATAGAAAAAGGAATCTGTCAAGTTGTTTCCCTTCATTGAACCTAAACCCATTCTGCTTCAATTAAAGTCTACATTGTCTTGTTTAGTCATCCAAGGATTAAAACTGGCAAGTTTTCATTTTCATGATAAACCTTCATATATTTAACAACATTTAATAAGCTTATGCCTCAGCCTTTAATCCTTCCTCCTCAGAAATTCCCATCTAGTTTTATGTGAGGAAGAGGAGCTTAGAAGGGCAGAGGCTGCCTCTAGCCATAGAGTATACTATGAGACGCTCAAACAATTGAGTGTTTCTGTTTGCTTAGCCTATTTTATTCATAAAGCAGACTCACAAAACATTACCCTTAAACTAACCATTATCTAGAATATGTTGGGAGATCTGCCCAGCTATTTGGTACCTTAAGGCATGGGCAGGCCCCAAGGCAAAGAGCACGCAAGCCTGCAGGGCGTCAGCAAGTAGGCGGGCAGAAAGCCAAGCAGCCTGATGTCCCAGAACATTCTCTCCTTCCGAAAAGACAAAGTGGTGCTGCCAAGGCTCGTACCCCTGCTTACCAGAAAAACTCTAATCGTCTGTTTAAAATTTATATAAGAATCTTCTCTCCCACTTTCAACTAAGGTCAGAACTGTTCATGGTTATATCCTTCCCCAACCTCAAAACTTAAACCAATCTAACAAATAAGTTCCTAACACAGAGTCCCCTTGATATGGGGGGGGTAGGGAGTGGGGAGAAAGAGAATGGTTCTAGGAACATCATCCCACCACACCACGAATACCAAAATCCATGGGTGCTCATGTCCCTCGTATAAAATAGGGAAGTATTTGAATATACCTATATACATCCTCTCTTTTACTTTAAATCATCTCTAGATTACTAATAATACTTAATACTATGTAAATGCTATCCAATTAGTTGTTATATTGTACTGTTTAGAAAATGGGAGGAAAATAGAAGTCTGTACATGTTCAGTACAGACATAACTACATAATACACATCAACACATAACTTCCCTGCCCCCCCCCCCGAATATTTTCTCTGCATTGGTTGAATCCACAGATGCGGAACCCATAAGATATAGAGAGCCAGCTGTACCTCCACACTAAGGATGAAAATTCCAATACATTTTCTTACTCAAAATAGTACAGAGGTTATTCAACATTTATTAATGTTGTACAAGTTCCCAAAAAACTCTACAGGAGCTAAAATGCGAGAACATAGGTATGCGTCGTTTAATTGCGCTTCCTTTACTGAGCTTTGTAGATTGCGTTTTTTACAAACTGAAGGTAAGACCACCCACCAGCAAAAAGATTATAACTCGCTGAATGCTCAGATGATGGTTGGCTAAATCAGATGATGCTAAATAAAATATTTTATTTAGCAACAAAATATTTTAAATTAAGATACGTACAATGTTTTCTAGACATAATGCTATTGCATACTTACTAGTCAGTATAAACATGACTTCTATATGCACTGGGAAACCATGACTGATTTTACTGCAATACTGCAGTGGTCTTGAACTGAACCTGGAAGATCTCTGAGGTATGCCTCTACTTTATTGTAAAGCTCATCACTTTGAGTTTACATCGACTGATACAAAGAAATCAGGAGTAGAGAAACACCACACAATCCAAAATCATATTGCTATGTATGGTCTGAATATTTGCATCCCAACCACCCTGAATTCACATGTTGAAACCCTCACTCTAGAAAAATGATGGTATTAGGAGGTGGGGCTTTGGGAAGGGGCTTTGGTCACGAGGGTAGAGCCTTCATAAATGGGAGTAATGTTCTTAGAACAGAAACCGCACTGACCCTGCGTGCCCTCGCACCAGGTGAGGACACAGCCAGAAGGCAGAAGCTATGAACCGAGAGGCCCTCACCAGAAACGACCACGCTGGCACCTTGATCTTGATCTTCCCAAGCCCCAGAAGTCTGAGAAATACATTTCTGTTGTTCATCAGCCACTCGGTCTGAGGTATTTTATAACAGTAACCCTAACGGACTAACACACATAGTTTCTCATCCTAGTAATTTTCCACTATATAAGGTATCATCCTGCAATTCAGACTCCTAATCATCAGGAACAAACCTAGTTCCCTTTTTACTATAATAAAGAATGACCAGAAATTTTAACACCATAAAAATAGCAGGGCCTTTTATTTCTGTTAAAGAATGGAACTCACACAATTTTAAGGTGACAACTACTTCTTAGGGCCTTTTTTAAATGCCTCCTCACGTTCGTCCAGCCCTTGTTCGTATTTTCCGTAGACACTGATGAATGCAGCATAGGAAGTGGTTGCAGACCTCCTTACTGAAGGCAGCTATGAAGGCAGCTGTCAGCCAGCATTCGCACTAATGCCCGACCGGAGGTCAGGCGGCAGTAAGTAGGGTTTAGCCTCCTGTGAACTCTCTCAAGAACAAGTGCTACAGAAAGTGGTTCAGGCCCAGCCTTTGGAGTCAGATGGTCCTGATTTCAAATCCTTGTTTTGTCCCATGTTTCAGCTGTCTGTCCTTGATTTGAATTCCTCAGCTACAAAAGGGTATTCAGATTGCCTGGAGAGTACAGGTGCTTGTGTTATGATTGATTTATAGCATCTGAAGACACAAAGGCTTGTGTAGGTAAGCAAAAAATACACAACTTTCCATTCTGTCTGGGTATTCACAGGCACTAGTCTGTTTCCTTTCTCCCAGAGACCACTGTCTTCAGTGACCTATATTGTCCTTCTCTTAGTTGTTTCAGGCAGGAAGGTAAATTCATTCCCTATAACTCCATCTTGACTAGAAGCAAGAGTTTGTGAGTTCTTGTTCTTAATGAAAAAGCTGATTAGGAAGAGTCTGTCTTTCATTATTAATTTTTGGAAATAAGATTCTGGTACCAATTCCACTTCTGATCACCAAGTGGATGTCTTTAGTTAACTCTTCCTACAATTCAACTTAATTCTGACACTATCTGCCTAGAGAGAGTAACTCGGGAATAGCCAGACGGAAGTGACCTCAGGAATGAGGGCGGGGCATAGAGCTTCCACAGGGTCTCAGGGCTTGTTACTCTCCCAGAACCTCCATGTATTCACCAGCCCAGAAGCTCCAGTACAGAAGCAATCAGAAAGGGGCTATTTAAAAGCAAGGGCAGAAGCCGAAGCCGGTTTGGCTCAGTGGTAGAGCGTCGGTCTGCGGACTGAAAGGTCCTGGGTTCGATTCCGGTCAAGGGCATGTACATTGGTTGCGGGCACATCCCCGGTAGGGGGTGTGCAGGAGGCAGCTGGTCGATGTTTCTCTCTCATCGACGTTTCTAGTTCTCTATCTCTCTCCCTTCCTCTCTGTAAAGAATCAATAAAATATATTAAAAATAAATAAATAAAATAAATAAATAAATAAAAGCAAGGGCAGAAAAATGAAATGAATGGCCCTAAGTTTTCAAATAAGGAATGTGTTTGCTAGTTGAGTTTGCATAAATCTGCTCATGAAATCCAAAAACGGGACAGGCTTCCACCAGCAGCAGTAAGGGGCTGCCTGTTTGTGAGCAGGCAATCAGGCCTTGGGAACACTTGTCCCTTCTGAACAAATACTTCTACATAACGAGACCGTTTAGAGGTGCCGTTTATTAAGTTCTTTCAGCAGACGGTATAAAATAGAAAATGAAATGTCCTGCCTTTCTGCATTAATATATAAAAACCATACTTCTTGAATTAAAACCTGGACCTACTTCCTTTGCAAATGATCCCAGGAGATCCTTCCCTCTTCTCAAGAAATTCAACTCTTTTGTTTCCAGGGCAATACCACTACTCTCTTTACATGGCTGGTTTTTCACCTCAGATCTATGGATAACTATCTCCTACAAGACAGACTGATCTATCCTAGCTAAAGTTGAGATCCACCTCTCCACAACTTTATCTTGTATCTCAGCATCATGCTTGTTTCTCATAGCACTTAGCATAATTTGCTTTTTTTTTTTTTTTCCTCTTTCTCTCCGTTCCAAATCAGACCAAGTGCTAAAAGTGCAGGGACTGAGCCTGCCATGTGTTGTAGCACATCCAGCAGTTGGGACAGTGACCGGCACCACAGTAAACATTCAGTGCACACTGGCTGAATACATGCTAGTGTCAAGAGGGCCAAAAACCTGCCACTGGTCAGCATCGGTCTGGAAAGAGCAACAGGCCCTGAAAGCATTTGACTTTATTGTGGAGTAACTTTTCTGAATCTTACCAAATGGATCATAATGCAGTAGCGTCAGTTTCTCCCCCAGGCGGCTTCTCTTGGTGTTGAAGGAGAAACCTGTCCCAGCTTGGCTTACCATTCTCACTAGGATGTTCCTAAGATTTAAAAAAGTAAGCTGTCAGAAGCTGGAGAAATGGATTAAAATCAGTCACAAGGAGTTGGCACATTTTGAGAACCCGACCCAGTAGTGTTAGTTGTGGCCCTCAGAAGGTTGGCCCTCAGAAGATTCAGTTCTAAGACAGACTATGTGTTCTGTAAGTCACAATTTCAGTGGTTTTGATTCCCAAAGTTGGTTTTATTACAGAATGACCTGACCAAAGCAATAACCACATTGTAGGCCACCTCTTAGAAGGAGCAGAGGTCAGGAGGGGGGGGGGGGAAATACAAATGTACTGGTAACCCCAAGTGGCCAGTCTGGAAATCATAAAGACAGCTGTCTCCTAAGGCCCCCATCTGCCAGGGATGAGCAATAAGAGTAAAATCAGGAAAGGACAAAATTAAGGGATTAGAACTTTTCTGTTGCTAACATCTAACACCTTTCCCCTCTTTATATATTTCATTTAAGTTACAGTCCTCCAAAGCATAAAGTTCATGTTTTGCCTCAATGGACGTTTTAATACGTTGTAGTGTTTGTTACTTTTTCCTATGTCTTGTCGCCCTGCATAAAGCATGCTGTTTTATTTCTCATCTAATTCCAAAAAGAATAGGAAGCACCTAAGATTACATTGTACATCTTTGCATCCCTTTCCATGCTAAACACAGTGCCTCATACATAAGAGGCATACAGTATTTGTTGATTAAGAGAGATAATATTAAGTCATTCGCTCAAAAAGATTTAACAAAAAGCTACTACCTGCTTACTCTGTGGAAAGCACTATGGGAAATGCAAAACCCTATTAAGGCTGCATCAGCTCCCTGGAGAAACTAACAGTACAGTGTGCAAGGTGAATGTGTACAGAAGGTCTGTAAGGCAAAACATATATGACATATGTCACAAGAAGGATACAAAGAACATGAGAGACAGAGAGTACCTCTAAAAATACTGAAAGCATGAGAGATTCCTACAGAACCTGGAGGTGGAAAATTCCCACATAAATAACAGGATTGTGGGAAAAACTATATGAATCAATAAAAGATACTAGAGTGGAGGGGACACCAATATACATATTTAACTTTAATAAAATTTAAAAAAAAAAAACCAGAACAAAAACCTAGTCTTGAAGATTTGTGACATGTCTTGGTTTGTACACAAAGGCTGCATTAGAATTTTCCTACTTTTAACACACAACAAATCTTCAGTTACTGTCTATAAAATGTATTTTAAGATAACAGTTTGGAATTTATAGTCTCTCTGGTACATCGTGAATTCTTTAATCTTTGTTAGTTTTGAAATGCTTCTACCATGAGTTCAAAGGATTATAAAACTCATTAAAATAGGCTTTATAGTTTAATCAGATCACAGACTGTCCTGCTAGACTCCTGTAGTGGGCTCCAAACAGCCACGGGTCCTCAATTTGAGGAAATAAAAATACGATGGTAGTCTAAACAGAGCTGGGCACCCTGATGGCTTCTTAGGAACAAGACAGCATGAGCTCCTTTATTGGAATGCTCACTTAAGTATGTCAATTGGGCAAAAGGAAAAATATTTTTTTGAAAGAGTTTATAGGGCCAAAATAATTCACCATGTATGGTCCTCAAACCAACTTTTAGAAAATGGGAGGCCAAATGCTGTGTAACATAAGGATGTATTGGCAGCAGCTGGACTAAGGAATGTAACATGAACAAGTTAAAAAAAAAAATTTACTTACTTTGATTTGCTCTTGGCAACTTTTTGTAGCAAGGACAGGTTGGAAGAGAAAAGAAAAAAATATCCATTTATTATTTTTCTTAAGCAAAGTTCATATAAACGTCATTAATAACCAAAAATATTTACGTCACAAAGTACGCCATGGGCTGTCACTTAGGTCACTACTGCCTCACTACTAGGGATCCGGTTAGGATTTTGTAACACAAGGTAAAAAGATCCAGACCAACACAGTTCTGGGTGTAATGCTCTGCACACTCTCTTTTCTGTTGGACTACCTTTCAAATCTTCCTAGAGTGACATCTGCTCCCTTTATTCCCTAAGATGCAAACATTTGCACTGGAACAAGGGCCTTGTTTGACAAGTTAACCAGGGGGAGGAGGGGAACAACCTAGCGGGGCAGTCAGCCTGGTGCAGGGAAGAGCACCGTCTTGGGAGTCAGCACTCCCCTCACAGCCCAGCTGCACGACCTCTCGGACAGTGCTGTTTCCTTCCCTTTAGGGTTCGAAACGAACGGACTGGAAGTCCTGAAGTCTTTCCCAGACCGAACATCCCGTGGTTCTGCTGACACACCACTCCTGCTGTCCTAACGAACCACACACAACCAGACCCCGCGGTGGCCCGCAGACCGCCAGGACCATCTCGCCCGCAGTGACACGCGCAGGGCATGCCGGGCGCTGTAGTCCTCAAGGCCCGGGAGGCCGCCCGCCGGCGCGCCCGTCCGCTTCCCCTGGGCCCTGCCAGTCGGGGCCTGCCCGTCGCTGCCCCCGCCCTCGCCGCAGCCTGGCAGCCGCCGCCTCGTTCTCCAGCCCCACTTACAGGAGACAGCCGACAGAAACATGGTGTCAGCCCCTCCACAGCTTCCTTCAGCGGCCCACGGTCACTCGACAAACTACTTCCGGGGCACAGGCCTGTTCCGGAAGAGGCGGTCTGAAGTGGCCCCGCAGCCACGCCCCTCCGATGTAAACCTGGGGTCGAAACCTGCTTCCCACCTGTGCTCTTTACTTGCCAGGTGTTTGTTTGGTTTTTTTTTTTTTTTTTTTTTTTTTTTTTTTTTGTGTGTGTGTGTGTGTGTGTGTGTGTGTGTGTGTGTGTGTGGCGAGGGACGTCTTTTTTCTCTTTAATGAATATTCAAGTAAGAAGATTCACTTCTGTCAGAGTCACTTCCAATGGGAACTAAGAAGTTTTTCCCCTTTCTGTGATTTCATTATATTAGTATCACTATAATGGATTTTTATTCATTGTTTTTGTAACTAACCATGTTCATTAATATTTTGACAGTCAAATTTTCCCAAATCAGCCACTTTTCCAAGCTGCTATTGCCATTAGGAGCCCCTTCCCAGCTGGTCCAATGTTCCTGAACAGACTCCCTCCCCTGTGTCCTGTCACCAGCTGTATCAGGTCAACCTTGTACATTCCCTGGCCCAGAACTGAAATCAATCATTTCTCCCTGAACTCGGCTTCCTTTCTGTAGATAATACCTAGAAGCCATAATCTAATGCACAGCCACTGGATTGGACTTTAGTGGATTTTAAGCTTTATTTTAAATTATGGAATCGTCATTCACATGCAACCTGTATCAGGAGCTCACTGTGTAAAATAAAGCTTCATGTGTTGAGAATGTTCTCAGAGCCTTGGACTCCACAGGTCAAAGAAGGTCTGAACTAACGAATGGCCACATTCTTCTCCAACTCCATTGCCTTTATTCTAGTTTGAAATTTCAAACCCTACCCCTCAAGGCCCTAGAGCTTTCTGCCATACTTCCCAATATGTCAGAGCCTGGAAATGCCCGGTTCAGTCAGGAGATAACCTTGTAGGCACTTGATCAGCAACAGCAGGAACAGGCTAGAGCAGAAAACCACTTAAGGCCTGGACCGCCTCAGAGACAGGAAACAGCATTTCAGAAATAATTCAGGACCAAGGTTATGGAGTATCTGCATAGACTGTATATTTGTGGCCCCCCAAAATTCATGTGTTTAAACCTAATCTCCGAAGTGATGGTATTTGGGAGGGAGACCTTTGGGAGGTGATTAAGTCATGAGAGCAGAGACCTCATGAATGGGATTAGTGCCCTTATAAGAGAGCTCCCTTACCCCCTCTACCATGTGAAGATACTACAAAAAACTCGGCATCTGCAGTCTGCAGGGAGGGCTTTACCAGAACCTTAGAACATGCCAGCACTCAGACTTCTAGCCTCTAGAACTTTGAAAAATAAGTGCCTGCTGTTTATGAGCTACCCCATTATGGTATTTTGTTAAAGCAGCCTGCACAGACTAAGTCAGTATCTCTCTCTGAGGGTCTGTCATCAAACTTTTGCCTCCTCCCACACCTTCCATAGCATCCACTCTTGTAAAGCCCCAGTGACCTCCATGATACCAAACCCATGGTCAATTCTTGGGCCTCCTTTTACTCAGCATCTATCAGTGTCATTTTTCACAGTTACTCACTCTCTCCTCCTTGAAACTCTGTCTTCACGTGGTGTCCAGGTGTCCACTGTCTTGGGTCTCCTTCTACCTCACCCATGATTCTTTCTCCACCTCACAGACCTCTCAGGAGAGGCACACCCAGCGCTCAGGCCCTGGTCTCTTCTCTGTCCCCACTCATTCCCTTGAGGGTCATACCTACATTTCTAGTTTGTTTGTTTGTTTGTTTTTTAAAAATATATTTTATTGATTTTCTTACAGAGAGGAAGGGAGGGGAACAGAGAGCCAGAAACATCAATGAGAGAGAAACATCGATCAGCTGCCTCCTGCACACCCCCCACTAGGGATGTGCCCGCAACCAAGGTACATGCCCTTGACCGGAATCGAACCTGGGACCTTTCAGTCCACAGGCCGACGCTCTATTCACTGAGCCAAACCGGTTTCAGCCCTAGTTTGTTTTTGTTTTTTTAAAATCTACAGGCTAAAATCTTCTGAATTTATATCTCCAGTTCCAACCTTTACTCTGAACTCCAGATCGGTGTGTTTAACCACCTATGTGACATCACGTGCCCAAAATCCAATTCCGAATCCTGCTTTGCACCCCCCAGGCTTCCCTCCTATCAGTTCATGGCAATTCCACTTTCCCAGTTGCTCAAGTAAAAAACCTGGGAGCCAAATTGACACTTCTTTCTCTCACACCCTAAATCTAAGCCATCAGAAAACCCTGTCATTCAAATGCCACCTAATACACACACAGAGACACACACACACACACACACACACACATATCTGCTTTACGTTTTTTTATAACACTTATCACCATTTCATATTACTTGTGTACGTGTTGATTTCCTTATTGACTGTCTCTGTTCACCAGAATGTAAACTATTTAAGATCAAGAACTTGTCCTATTCACCCATTGCTGTATTCTGGTGCCTAGAACAATGCTTGCTACACCTATTAAATATCTGTTGAATAAATGAATGAATTGATGAATGAAACTAAAATAAGAGGCACCATACAAATGTTAATTTATTACTAAATATTTACATCAAAATAGCAAAGCTAAATATTTGTATATTGTCGATAGTTTCAGAGTTCAGTAGAATTTAGAAGTTTGCTCTTAAGAAGAGATAAGCATATGAACTGTTTCTTTTTTGTTGTTGTTCATCCTCCCCAGAGGATATCTTTCCATTGATTTTTAGGGAGAGTGGGAGAGGCCGGGAAAGACGGAGAAACATCAGTGTGAGAGCCCAGGCTGGGGAGGAGTCTGCAACCAAGGTACATGCCCTTGACCAAAATCAAACCCAAAACCCTTTACTCCACAGGCAGACACTCTATCCACTGAGCCAAAGTGGCTCGGCTGAACTGTTTCTGGAAATTCATGAAGTAGAAATGAAGTAGTGGCTTCCTAGTCTCATCACTTCCACCTACATCCACCTGTTACTTACACCTAACACGCTGTTGGCAGTTGGTAAGTGTTAATTAAAGTGTTTGTTAATACGAATGTAATTCATAATTTGGAGGGTTTCCCCCCCTGAATTTACATAATGAGCCGTTTGCACCTCATTAAAGTACAGAACAATTACGACAGCCCAAGTTGAAAGTGTGGGGTGGCATCTTCTTTGGGCGGGAGAGGTGCTGAAGGGAGGAAAAGGTACAGCTATCTCACCTAGACCCTCAGCCCAGGAGAGCAGAGGGAGGAAGACAACATTTATTGAAGGCCTCGTCTTGAAGGGCTTAAGACACACGGCCCATGTTGTATGGGCCAACACTGAATTCCCAGAACTCAGCACTGGGATTCCAACCCAAGGATCTGAAGGCTGTTCTCCTCCGATGTGCTGACCACTGTCCGGCCCACCATCCTATCTGTATCCCACCTGACTGTTCTGGTCACTAGAGTCCTGATCCTGGCTCCCTGACCTGACCCACATGGGCAAAGGGAGGGAGCCTGCAGGAGGCTGGGCTCCCTGCAAACAACTGACACCTTCACGAGCTCAGACACCGCCAGGCCGATGGGACCGCTTCAGAAGTGCGTCCTCTATCTGAACAACTTAGTACCACAGCAAAGACTTCCTGTGAGAGCAAGACTGCAAGCTGGCAAAACCAAGGGGCACCAACCAGGTTCAGCCTGAGTGCAGTAGGTATCCTCAGGTTGGCATTCAATCGCCTTCCACAATCTGGCCTCCGCCTCCTATTTCAGCCCCATCTCTCTCGCTGAGCCCTGCTAGGTGCAGGTCCCTTTCTGGATGAAGTCTCTGCTGACCCTCCGCCTCCCACCCCATCCGCCTCCTCCCCACATGTTCCTCTCACAGCACCTATTATGCTTCCCTCGCTCCTCGGATCATGGGTCAGTTGGCCCCTGGCATTTAGGTCCCTTGAGGGCCAGGGCTTCTGAATCTCATTATATCATCCCCCAGACTCTCCCCAAACAAGGCTCCTAACACAAGAAGGCCTCCCCTCACTGGACAAATCTGAACTGAGCCCCTTCTGTCATCCGGGAACCCTGCCTCTAGCCATTCTCTGTCTCTTCAATCCTACCTCCGCTCCCAGGTCACGGGAGAGTGGGAGGAACTGGGGAAAGAATAGGAACAAAGGCACGAAGGAGTCTTAAAAGCCAACAGTGAGCATCCTCCTGGGACTCGAGTGGGTGAAGAAATGCGGGGGTGGGCTGGAGAGGACGCCCTGTGCTGGGTAAGAAGGAACCAGGTGTTAGCGTTGGGAGCTAGGCCTCGGTTTGATGGGCAGCGGGGGAGTTAAGGGATGTGATCATATCTCTGTAGTGGCAGCATCTGAAGTCACACCATTCTCCGGGCTAATTGGAAGAGAGGCAGGGATTCCTCCCCGTCCCACCAAATAATACAGGCTCCCTAAGTCCCCAGCCCTCTCTCTGCTCTGCATGTCCATGCCTATTGAGTATTTGGTGTTTTCTTAGTAATTGGTAAATCCTTCCTATTCATTTACCTTCAACCAGTAGTCCCTGAGCCCATTTTGAGAGGGAGAAAGGGAAGGAGAAAGGCATCACAGAAGCCTTTGAAAACTGGCTAACAGCTACAGCTCAGCTCTCTCAGGGAATGCGCATATGCCTGTCCAGAAGCAATTTCACCTGCTCTCCGCTGCACATTGGAATCACCTGGAGAGCTTTGTCCTTGCCTCCCACTCCCAGGGTTTTTACCTTAATTGATATGAGTGCAGTCCAGACTTTTTAGAAAACTCCTTAGGAGATTCCATTGTACTCTCAAGTTCGAAAGTATCAAGCTAGGGATTTGTGGACTCCAGGTTAAGACCTCTGTCTTAGACCATAAATTCCAGGTATGTCCACTTAACTTTGCACCGTGAGCAGCACCTGCCCAGGTAGAGACAGGAGGGGAGAACACGGCCAATTTAGAGGAATGAGGAAGTCTCAAAGCTGTAAATACAGAGAGTGGGGGCTCACGTACATTCCAGAAGGCTGCAGAACACGGCTAGAGGCGTGGAGAGGGGAGACAAAGAGCAGGAAGCTTAACTGCCTTCCTGAAAGAT